TAAATTAAATTAAATTAAATTAAATTAAAAGCCTTGTCATTTAATATAAAATTACAAAAGAGAACGTGTACACAAGATAAATAACACACTTAAAGAGATTTGTTTTCCAGTGCAGACCATGACAGTGMTCAGCTTGTTCAACACTAAAACATGTGAAACCACAAACCATCTGGTAGAAAAGGTTTAAACCTGCCCTGCTCAAGGTTTTGGCTGCAGTTATTCTTGCGGTTACAGTGATACAGTTCTTGCTCACAGAGACAAAAGGATATTTAAAGATGACTTTTAATATGAACATTTTTATAATATTGTGTCATACTTGTGTTAAAAAAGAAGTTCAGGTGTAGTGATGCCTGGTCAGTGAATTACCTGAACTATGGAGTGAGTTAAACTGTTTAGCATTTATAATAAAGTGAAATCTAGTTATAGCCAAAATATTGAATTGAATATTGCTGATTGACTCGTTTTGTTTGAATGTTTCATTAAAACCCATCCAGTGGTTCGTGAAAACATTTTCTAACAGACAAAAACCATCACAGACACTGGCAAATACCATTATTGTGGTTTTCCTAAAAATAGAAAGCTGAAACWCTCACAAAATGGTCTTTAATCATTTGTAAGCTTGGACGTTTCTACCATTTTCTGAGCAACAGTGTCAGAAATAACCTTTATCTGCAGTGACCTGATATAACAAATTCCAAGTTTCGTATTTAAGAAGTCAAAGAAATGGTTCAAGTGTTCTCGTGTCARATGTTTGCACTCACCAAGAAGCTCAGGTAAAACTTCTCTCCATGGTGGGCAAAGTGCCAGAAACACTCAGTGGCAGATCCACGAAGCACCACAGAGAAGTCATACTGATCTGCCCCCCAGAACAGCTCCTGGTCCGTTATGTTCAGGTGGGGTCTTGTCTGGGGTCCGCAGTGAATTAAAGACCAAAACCAAAAGGGAAGAATGAAATATTTCATCCAGAACAGCATGTCTGTCCAGGTAAGAACACAACGTCTACAAGCTGATGATAAGACAGGAGAGTGTGGCAGTGAGGACACCTGATCAATGAATAACTGGACCAAACTGGTTTCTGTGGTCACTGGGAAAACTGAGCTGCCCAGACAGATGGAGGCCCACTGCTTCAGTCTGTTTACCACATATTTGTTGTTAATGTGTGTGTGTGTGTGTGTGTGTGTGTGTGTGTGTGTGTGTGTGTGTGTGTGTGTGTG